CAGCAAATAAAAACATCCTTATAGCAGATGGAGGAACAGCAATGCATGCGCTTCTTGTGATCTCAAGGCGTGGTGGTGCTGGATGAGATTAGGCAAAGTTTCTCAAACTTTTTGTGCTACAATCTGCTGAAATGATCACCTTTTAATGTTCTTATGTTTTAGTAATTATAGAACAATTAGAGTTTATCATCTGAATTTTCTGATTTTTATTCCCCTTTCCAGGTGAACTGACTCAAGGTGAGCTGTACTCGGCCATCAAGAAAGAGAGGGAGCAGACAGAAGCTGGAGACTCCAGTACTACAGCCTTCAGTGGGGAGATGCACTTCTATGAATTAGTGGAGGACACTAAAGATGGCATTTGGCTGGTTCAGGTAAAAGTTGGAATATGGATGTTCTAGTTTTTTTTTGTTTTTATCTGCAGACATTACTGGTGTGTTTCAGCAAAAGCAGGGAATTGTTTGGGTTTCTGGTGATAGGCGATAGGTCATAAACAGTCCAGAAAGATGCAGAATTGAATCATTTGCCACTTGAAATATTGGCTATTATTTGTGTGTTTGTTCCTGTCGTGTGTGATCTTTATTAGTTTTTCTTGTTCTACACCACCAAGAACTGGGACGGTAGTTGGGTCGTGCCTGGCAGTATTTTCTTCTTTTGACAGGTTTTTCTGAAAGGTTTTCTACTTCAGTGACCAATTGTGTCCCAAAAAGTTTTTGCTTGTGCTGTTGCCAACTTTGCAACTTCTTACAACACTTTAGGGACTTTTATAGGGCTGAAGCAATTAATTGAGGAGCGGAACAAGGGACCAACGGAGAGACCTGAATCAGCCCCGACAGACCTAAAGACTGAGATTCTATCTTCTATCAAGACCGAAATGACTACACTCTTCCAAAATGAGCTTGCAACGGTGATAGCTAAGGAGTTTGGAGGGATTAAAGATGAGCTAATGCTAACAGTTCGATCGGAGATTGCTAGCTGTACTGCTGCATTTCGAGCTGAGCTAGCTACTATGAAAACCACGGTGTCTGACATGGAACAGGGGCTCTCCGGGTGCTCAGATGATATCACGACTCTGCAAAACTCCATACAACAGCTAGAGAAGAAAGTGGTGTTCCTACAGGATAAATGCGTGGACATGGAGGGGCGAATGCGGAGGTCCAACATCCGCATTTTGAACATCCCGGTGGAAACCTCTAGCACCCCAATGTCAATGTCGAGGCTGCTTCGAGAGATTTTAAAATTGGATAAAGACGTGATCATTGACCGATCGCATCGCACTTAACCGGCGAGTCGCATGGGGGGCAGACCGAGACCGATAATAAGTGAAGCTGCACTACTATCAAGATTGTGTTGACTTTCTTCGCCGTGCCCGTGATGCTGCTCCGCTTCACTACAATGTTACTGCTGTTTCCATCTTCCCTGACTATCCACCAAGTGTAGCACAAGCAAGATCGGCTTTCAGTGAGGTCAGGAAGCTACTGCGGGGGAAGGAAAACGTGCGCTACGGACTACTACGCCCAGCCATACTACGGATCACTCACGACGGCACCGACAAGCGCTTTCGGGATGCTACGGAGGCCATTAAGTATGTTAAAAATAACATCCCATGAGGAGGCTCACTCTTATCACCTATGCCCCTTTCATTTTCAACCTGTAAAGTGAAAAAAGTAAATAACTGACAATCCTGATATACATTTTGAAAGATTCCCCCTGAAAGCAGGAGTTATGTTATTGTAAGAATATTGATACAGATGTGTCAAACTCACCTTGTTAAGGTTTTTTGTTTATGTTACATATGATTGCTCTGTTAACAAACGGGCATAATATAAATGTCATTACGTTAAATATGACATACTTTTTGAAACAGCTTTTTTATCATTTATATTTTATTTTTTATTTTCTACTTTTTTAAATGCAGAGCGGGCTGCTACGCTAGAGCTCTTATAAACACATAATGTTTGGATTTTGTTGTAAAGGGGAAGGTTTTGATCACCATGTTCAGGTGGGTGATTGTTGGGGTGGGATACCTGTTGCACCAAAAGTAGTTTTACTGTTCTTCTCTGTGTGTGTGTATAGAATAGTGATGGGATTTGCACTTTTATATGCGTTGATTAGACATCAAAACAAATACTCAATACTCAATCTTTTATCACAAGCCACATTGGTAGTCAGTTACTGAATGTCAATAGAAGTACTTGCCAGACCAAAGTTAATTTAGTTAGTTGGAACATAAAATCTTTGAACAATTCAGTAAAACGGAGAAAGGTGCTTTCACATCTAAAACAGATGGATGTAGACATCGCTTTTCTTCAAGAGACACATTTAAACACATTTGACCATTCTAAACTCAGAGGAGGGTGGATAGGTCAGATGTTTCACTCAAATTTCCATTCGAAATCCAGAGGCACAGCCATTCTTGTGAAAAAATCTATTTCTTTTACGGCTACAAAAATAGAAGCTGATTCAGCTGGCCGATTTATAATTGTAGTGGGAACTTATTATTAATTTACCTGTCATCCTTGCAAATATATACGCCCCAAATTGGGATGACACTGTAACGCTAGGGCTTCACTGACTGCTAAATGAGCTCAGAAGTACATCGGCCACAGAGTCAAAGGGTGTGAATAAAGCACAACAAAAAAAATTAATAGTTTCTATAAAACTAGATTAATAGTTTTATATTTATTTATTGTTCTAATAGAAAGATTATTGGTTACATTAACATGTTATTGAGCTATATTATATGATTTATATGGATATGAATTGATATAATATACACACACACACCTTGGGGTGGGCAATTCCAGTTCCTGGGGGCCGGTATCCTGCATGTTTTAGATGTGCCTTTGGTTCAACACACCTGAATCAAGTACTCAGATAATTGGGAGGACTCTGCAGGAACCGACTGCATACTGAGGAGGTAACTCAGCCATTTGATTCAGGTGTGTTGGACAAAGGATGGATGTAAAAGTTGCAGGATACCGGCCCCCAGGAACTGGAATTGCACACCCCTGCCTTAGATCAATATAATTTCAAAGGAGAAAAAAAAAATATATTCCAACAGGATAATTCAAAAGGAAAAAACAAATAAAAAAATTTAAACAGGTTTGCAGTTCATGAGGTCCGTTGGGAATCCAAATTCAGAGGATCTGGGTTTGTAAGTACTCCAAAAAAGTACTCCAGAGTGTTGTTCAGCATGGGGGTGAGTAGAAAATGAAGGCTAATCATGTTTTGGGTGTACTATTCCTTTAATTTATTGACAACACAACAGACGGATAACCTTTTGAATAAATGACTACACAAAACGTATGAACATGGTGAAAAAATACGGAAAATGCTGGCGCACCAATTACGTCAACAGCGTGCAGATCAAACCATTCTTTCAATCAAGGTTGAACATGGAGTTAGCATAACTGACCCTCTGGGGATTAATTCCAGATTTAAAGAATACTACACGCAGTTAGTGGCGTGCCGTGCATTTCACACCTAGGCCTTCGGTAGAGCGATGTCTGACTCAATCCAACCCTCAATAACTATTTTATGGTTATACAACTTCTACTGAAGGTACAGCTGCGACACACATAAAAAAAAAATAAAAAAAATAACCTGATAAAATTGCAATATTAATTAGAAATATAGTAACATTTTACTCACCAAAAATCCTGATTGTTTGTACACAAAATCCATCCTCCTTTCTTTCCTCAAGAAGATTTCAATAACTCTGTTGTGCAGATTATCCGTGCGTTTCACTTCCATCAAGAAAGCCTTTTCTATCGCCATCAAAGCTAAAGCTGAAAGTTGAGCCTGCCCTGTCGTATTTCTGGCATGTTTTAATTCGCTTAAGGGCTGAAAATGTCCGTTCAACAGAAGCAGTAGACACGGGCATGGTCACCGCCAAACACACAAACGTGTATAGCTGCCTCATGCTCTCAATGAGATTTTTCTGCTGAAGGAAGTCAAGGAGATCAGTGGGAGATTTACCTGCAAAATCATCCATGACATACATTACAGTTAGTTCTGTTCTTAGCCGAGGTAGATCGAAAAGTGTCCCATGACTCTGTGCTAAGCTGGAAAAGGCTGCATGAGGAAAATTTTTCTGGTGTTCCTGAAACTTCTGGGGGTCGAGGAGGGTGACAAAGATCAGTTTTTCGTGGTCTTCAAATCTGGTCTGTGTCTGGCAAATAATATTGTCCATAATCCTACCGTGGAGTTGGTGGAAGTGCGCGCGAGGATGGATCTTGCGCTGGACCTCTTCGTGCACTCGGAGCGCCCGCGGTGCGTTCAGTGGCCTCGTAGATTTCCTCGTATCGGCTCCTCTCTCGCTCAACGGTGTCACAAAACTCCTTTACTCTTGCCAGACAAAACTGTACATCCAGTTTTTTGTCCTGTAGTATTGAAAAGAGCACATCTGCGTACTCAAAAATGCCATTAAATGTGTGAAGCAAAAAACAAAACTCAAAATCCAGACGTGCTTTAAATCCATCAGCTGGTATATAGGATTTCCTGA